TGAGCAAAAGAGGGGTTAATTTGCTTGACTTGATTGTTTTGGCAAATTTGTGATTGGTTGCATCAAAACATCAAATCAGTTACTTATTTAACCCTGTGAAATTTTAATGCATTTATGCATGCTTTGTGAAAATAAACGACACCCGCCTTGATGGCTACCTTTCTTGTGTGCTCGGAATATGGGTCGGTTGTTGAATGACATGGGGTATATGGAGCAGGGGTGTGGGTTTATTCTGGCGAAGAGACAGGTGATATATACAAAATTTAAAACAATGCTTGCACCTCGCTCAGCTATGTCCTCAAGTCCAGGCATGAGCAACCATCCAAGGATCACTGAACGTGCGCTTACTTTGGAACTCCAAAGTAAACACCCTTTAAGTAGATTGCCTTAAATCCACTTTGCTTTATCATTTTGGTTCTATCTATTTGATTTCAGACCCAATTTCTCTTAAACTTGCCCACAAATTCATTTGATACAGAAATTATTTTTTTTTTCTAATAATGGGCAGCTTCTCTGACTCATCGTAGCCACATTTTTAGCCTCACTACAGACGAGGTAATTTTCGGTGTCGAGAGGACTGTTTGAGTTAAAAAAGGTCAGACGGGAGAAGATTTTAGGAACACCAGTGGCCTGTGGTTCATTTGGGAAAAGTCCATGCCTTAAGCATGTAAGCAATAGAAGGCGCGAAGCTGATGGCCTGCATCTTTGCGTCTTTCCATTTCATTGCAGAGCGCCTTATGCCATTCTGGTTTGCTTTCTGCTCCAAAACAATCACAGATGTTGCAAACGTAGTCATCTATTTCTAGAAATGCTTGCATACTAATTGGAATTACATGATCTTACGTGCTTAAACAGTGGCATAAGCCTATTTAGAAAGCGCCACTATATAAAACATCATGTGATTAGTAGACAGAAGACATGTTATTAGAGCTCTCTTAATAAACAGTCTACTATAGCAGCTGCATTCATATCAAAAAGATAAATTTTTATTCCCCTTAACGCAGTCATTCACTTGTGCAAAATAGAATTTCGAATTACAATTTCGCTATATATACACTGGCTTTTCATTATAGTAAGGTAATTGCTTACCTCATGAAAATGCAAGGGTTCCGTATATCTCCCATTTCATAGGGAATTTGAATATTTTCCATCAATGGGTTATGAAATTTCACATAAGTACTGGTTACCTCGTTGCCTGATTTTGGCCCTTTGTAACAGGTGTAAAAGTAAAGTACTGCATGCCAGGTTTACGTCTAAATGTTTCCAAGTCGCAAAGCATGATATGGACTTGTCTCATTCTTCTATGATATATGCCAAATAATCTCACAGTGTTAATATTTCTGAAAAAGTAGGAATTGATCACTTAGTACCATCTGACATTAAATATAGTCAGCTGTTTTAAGAAGTACTCAGAAAGTTGTAATAATTTGCCTTTTGCTCTTCACCATAGCGAAATTCAAAGTGCGGCAAAGCTGTACTACGGCAAACTAAGCTTCAATGCCAAATATCAAGCATTCCTTCTAGAAAATAAAACTATTAACTAGTGCATTGGCCATATCATTGCATGAATAAGTAGTTTTGTTTTGCAAAATTTTAGCACGGTGCGATGTTTGTAAACACGAGTCTTCCCTCTCTGATCGCCATCGACTCACTCCTTCTACAACAAGCAAACCATTTCGTAGTGGCGTGATTAGCATAAACAAGCATTTGTAGAAAAAGTCATTCACCATTTCATTGGAAAGAGAGCTTATGTCTATCTTGTTTAGTGATTATTTGAGAATGTGACATCTTATCGAATCAGCAATAAAGCAGCGGGTGGAATATGAAGCCAACAATACAGAGTCTCGTCAGATAGGATGGCCGTCACCGAAGACGGAGTAAAACAGGTGGGCGCATTGCCAATACTAACCAACTAGATGGACGTCCATAGTTTTGTACGCTAGTCATATCACTACAGGCTTTTCGTTGAAGGTTTACTAATATCGCTAGCGTCCTGCGTAAATTAATTAAAAAGCAGGTGAGTGTTTCTGGGGGAGATAAGGCAATATGAGGCGTTTAAATAACTAAAATGAATGCGCTGCTTTACACCGATTCTAGCGTTGCTGCACTTCGAATCGAGTGCCCCAATGTTTGTACTGCATGTAGAGGCATGCCACGTAGTCGTGGGCAGTGTACACGCACGCAGGGACAAAGATGGAAGGCAGCACGTCATAGCCTACTCTTGTGCCCGACTCAACAAAAAATTGAGATGTAACAGTGCAACATAATACGTGCCACCTTTACAATTGCTAGACACTTCAGGTACTACCTGATGACGAGGCAATTCATAATAAGAACGGATTATTAGGCGCTTACCAGGTTTAAACAATGAAGGTAATAGACCGTTCAATTGCACATTAGTACAAAGAACTGCAACAATACAATTCCATAGTACAGTGGGGAAAGAAGAATGTGAATATTAATGCGGTCGCTCCAGTTCGTAAACTAGTTGCGCCAAAGAAGACGATGATGTTGTGCATGCCATATTCTTGAGCAAAACTTCTAAATAACATTGGAGGAACTCAAAGTAGAACCAATTCAAAAACAGCTCTGATATGTGAGACTTCCCTTGCATTCTCTTATAAGCCCGCAGAGCTATAAATGACCTCTTCCACCATGGTGGACAGACACATAAGGTCATAATGGCACAAGACTCCCTCTAGAGAATGGGATTTTGCGGCATTAAATAAATGTGGGTTCATCTAAGGGACTTGTAGTCCCAGACTCATTGGTACGATCAGTTCTCCAAAAGATGCATGAGTAACTGAACTATGTGGGTGTAAATAAGATGCCAGACGCCTCAAGCAAATGATGCTGGTGGACTTTGCTCTCCCAAGACATACTTGATTTCTGCTAGGTCTGCTCCACTTGCAGTACTTCCAAGAGTCCATGCCTCGCTGTGATCGCAGCACGTCAGCCTGTACCCACTGGGTTCCCAGGGGACAGCGTAGGCATTGACGTCACGGGCCCTCTACCACGAGCTAAGAGAAGAAATGGATATACTCTGATTGTGGTCGACTTTTTCATGAAAGTAGCCGAGGCAGAACCCATGATGACAAAGGATGCACAAATGATTGCCTTTAGTTTCGCCAGTAGGTCCATTTGTCGGCATAGAGTTCCCAAATCAGTTCACAGCGAAGAAGTCACTAAATTCGGGAGTCAATTCTTTACTGGACTGTGCAAGATCTTCCTGACCCTAAAGACGCACAACACTTGGGCATCCGCAAGTCAATTCATAGGTGGAAAGAACAAGTAGCACTCTAATTGAACTACTAAAAGCTTACAGTAAGGATGCGCAACTGGAAGACTGGGACATAAGCCTAGGGTGTCCCCTCCTAGCGTGCATACCTACAGTTCACATATCAACTGGCGTTTCAGCTTTTAAGATGATCACAGGTCGTAGAGTGAGGGTGTTTTCTATATCTTTCTACCAAACACGAAAGTAGTAACAAACAGCACCCCGATTACATAACACGTCTAGAGGGAGATATAAAAACTGATAATATCGTACGTCTACACTAACGACTGTTTTATTTCAGACAAAAGAAATATCACGACAAACACAGCAAGGCTAACGTCTACCAAGAAGGACATTTAGTAGAAATGTATGGGCCGATTCTCCCATTTATACCCCACAGCAAGTTTCATCGCCCTTGGTGAAGACTGTCTCACCTACAAACTGCCACGTCTGCAACGCATAACTATGTACTCAGCCCATAACCATTCATCACAAAATGATGCATCTTTACAAAGGTGCACCACCAGTGGAATACAAGGATGAAATCTGCACACCAATGGAAAAACAAAATATGCCCGATGGCATATTCAACAACAACCCATAATGGTAGCACGGGGGATGATGCTAAATAGATGAGGGATCTATGATGAACTTATGCCGGTAAAATGGAACTTTAAGGTAGGATCGCTTCGCAAAATCTAAGCTCATTATTAAGAAGTGGTCAGATTTCTTCGAGGCAAAGGAGAGCTTAGTACCCAAACTTTCCAAAACCTGTACCGATTTAAACTGACCCTGAATAACAAACTTGTCTTAAACCAATCTGTCCGTGAAATGGGAAGAAGGCCAGAAAGGCGATAAATGGGGAAGGTGCCACAATTTATGAGTTACAGTTTTAAATATTTATAGGTTAAAAAGCCTTTCATCTATTCAATATTACACAATATATAATATCTAATAAGAGGAAAATAGGTGCTCCGTCTTTTGCCTTTTCATTCAAAAATCAGTTCATTAGTATATCTTTTATGGCAATAAGTGATCTATACTACTTTTTCCAAAAGCTAACCTGCTGTTTGTGTTTATTTTACTTTGAAGAATTCTTGAGTTAAAAAGGCCTTAAAATGACAGTGTTTCGTTTAATTTGCCATTTTCAAGGTCATCGGCTGCATTTCAGTATATTATCTGCCGGTACGGTAGGTGTCTTGCGGATTTTAATAACAGTAGGATATTGCCCAGATAGGCTTTAGTTGTTAAAAAAGCGTAAAAGTGGAGAACATTAGGCTTTACTTGGTGACAACAATGGTTCAGACTTTAAAGCGAGCACAAATGTATCTGTCTGTGGTGTCAAATGTGATAAGCATCAACGGAAAGTGGCCTTGCTCAATTACGAATGGATGTCAACTTAGGAGTTGTTGTGGTGTATTTTCTGTATCAACGACTTTAATGCAGGTGTCTTTGGGGGATTTCGCCATTAATCTCTTTCTGGACGTCCTCATAATTATATGCTTACAGTTGCATTCTCCAAGTTGTTGCAGTAGCCATGTCAGTAGATTTTATCGTGTTTGTAGGATGCGGGTACGGCTGCAATGCCCGTCGAAAGGGTAATTGAGTATGCTTCTCTTTAGTGGTGAACTGAATCGCGTCCTCTGCAGTTTCATTAGACTCAATTTCAGCATATACAACCCGGGGTGGTAAAGGTTCTGCTACCAATGGGACGTTGACGCGCATGGCAGAAGTTGAAGTAACCCTTTTGCATCTGCTGTTAGAGCTTCCCCAAATATCCCGAACCTCTTTCCGATCTGGAGCCAGGAGAGATTACATTTACAACCCCTGATGGTGAGTCATTCAATTCGTGGAATTTTGTTGATCGTCCACAATCCAATTGAGGTTTATGTAAAAATTCAGGTACTCTGTATTTGTATCCGGCATCAACTCTCTAGACGAAATATTTTGGATACTCTGAGTTTTGTATTCACAGATAAATTATTGTGAGGAGACCTGCATACCAGGTACGCATCTTTCTTCACCGTCCTACTGCACTGCCCGATTTACCATTTTTGGCAGGAAGGTGTCGAGAGTTCTGATTATGGTTGCGATTTAAGGTCGCGATTTACTTCTTTTTGGGTAGATTTTATTGCCAGTGCTTTCGGTTATTTTGAATGTGGTCTCGTCCATTGCGCAGAAGTGGAGGTTAGGGTGAAGGACAAGATCTGAGGCTGTTTTGATGATCCCTCTATTGGGGGTCACCACAGCTTCAACGAAGTTGGCCCGCTTTTGGGACACTCGTAGAGGTGATAGTCTGGGTCTTTGTGCGTAGAAGCAGGTTCGTTCGAGCGCACAGAGGTGCTGAGAGACAGGTATCACAGGTAACAGGTAAAATCGTTAGTTCTGCTGTAATATAGTAATTTTGTCAGTAATACATCAGCATTGCACTGTAATGAGTGAGAATTTCACCTGAATTAAAGGCATTTCCTCCCTCATCAGTGAGCTCGGTGCCGAAGATGTGCGTTCTGAAGGACGTTAAAAGAAGTCCGTTATTAAACTACTCGGGGCAGTGGGCGCCAATTCGAAACTTCGGAAGGCCATGCGATGGCTACAAGCAGACGGTGAACTAATGCTGAGGGCGCCTTCTCACGCACCGTCGTGTTTCTCGACGCCAACTGCTTCCTCATCACCCCCCTTAGTATCTCTCCCGTCGATGACATTCATGTTGGCACCTACTGCTGCTCTTCGGAGCCCCCGTCGAACACTTCTACAGCAAACCATTCCAGTGCGCCGAGTATCGTCTTATCGTGAACGGTATGGATGTATGCCTGTCTGCACACATCACATTTTTTTCCTCCCAGGTTAACTCCGCAGATGGTGAAAGGTATACAGGCTTGAACATAGGAGTGATGTGCAAGTATTAGCTTGGATGGCGTAGGCGAGCCCATAAAACTAGAATGAAAGTCTAATAGTGAGATTCCGGAAATACTGGGGTAGTCAGTTATACAATTGGAAATAGGTGCTCTTCTATTATAGCACCATTCTTGGCTGATACGTGGAGTTTGGGCATTAAATGGGCAGTTTTATTTCCTTCTTTATTAATTGTAGTTTAGACCAGTTGTCCTTTAGTAGGATTTCGGTTGAGAGTATTATAAATGATGTTTCGTTTCATAGTTTGGGTAAAAATTTTGCTTATTCTGGTGATACTTACTCAGACGGTTCATGCATTATCACAGAGAGGTGAACCTGTGTTTCCTACTTTGATACCTTCTAGTTGGTGATTGGTTGCCTTTTGTCGATTACTTTATTGTAATCTACGGTTGACTTCGATCGTTAGTGGCAGTTCGTAGAAAAATTGTCGATCATTTCTTAGTTGTTTTTGCCCAGCTAGCACTGTGTCAGCGGTGGTCAAGTAGAAACTAACGTGTAATTATTCTTTCCTGCACTACAGATGAAAGGGCTTTTGCAACCACAAACCTCATCAACGGTTTTGATTGGATTTTTCGTAAGATAAACTGCAGTACTACCACTCTCGCTTACTTGCTTAGGGTATTCAACCCTCAACGCTAGCAAATTCGTGCACTAAGGAAGCTAAATTTCAGCTTTTAAAATGGAGCCAAACCTGGAAGCAAAGCAGTGTTGGCCTTTCTCTCCCCACCTCCTTCACATGATAAAAGCCACTCTCTTTTCCCTGGCAGATCTCAATCTTACCCGCTACGGGCTTGAGGCGAAATACTACAAGGCGAAGATAACCTTCAGTGGCGCGGACCCGACAGCGAGGTGGTCGCACAGACCCACCACACTGCGGCACCGAATGAGGCTAGCGGGGATGCAAAACCTGAGTCTTCAGCTATTCGAAGTGAATGCTGCTAATGTTGGCGACTACCAGTGCTGGTCTCAACCAATTGGGGGTTAGAGGCATGCGCCTGAGACGTTCATCCTGCATCTCAAGGAGCGTAAGGCCTGAAGGCAGGCACTGGTGCATTTTCACCTGCGCTAATTTTTTTGTTGTTGGTAGATAGAACCGACTTCATCTTCGTTTTATATTTAAGATATTCCTTTGAATACAAACATTTTGGCTTATGTACTAAAAAACAGCTGGGATCGCATCATCCATCCCCTAGTTGGCGTGTTCCAGTCCTCTTGTAGCTTGGTAGATGAATTGAAAGTCATATTCTCCATCCGGACTTGCATGAAATGCATACTGTGCATTTTAAAAGATACGGACCCAGTCTGTCCACAATGTGCTGCTCTGTTTTAGGCAATTGCGCTGTATAGAAAGCACTCTCAGAAGTTTGATCCTTTGAAAATGGCGCAAATACTTATTTTTATGGGATTTTGTCTTTCTCAAAACGTTTGCCCCTCTTGCATACCCTTTCGGTCCTCTAGGTGCGCATGAATACTACATTTGCGAATTGTCTTACCGCGGCAAGTAGCAGTTGCTCCTCTACTATTCCGATGGAGCAGTACCGCTAATGGGTTGCCTAATCCGATTCCTGGTAGAATGCGTTGTGCACAGTTAGTCTTGGTGAAGTGGTTGGAGTTACAGTTGGTTTTATTCCAGCAGAGGTTATTTTATCAAAACATAGACTCAAGTACTGGCATTTAGTTGATACTATTCCACTTAACTCACTTGCTTCATAGACCAAATTCCGTAGCTTTGTAGTCACAGCCTGAATTGATTTCAACAAAAGCGGCTTGAACCATTTACAATAAGATGTGTATAGTGATGTTGACAAGTGTAAAAGTCGGCAATGCTCAAGTACAGCAACTCATGGGGCGTATTTTAACGTAGTATTATCTCAGGGAGGCTGCTGAGGCAGCACAATCCCTCTTCTCTTTCTGGCTACTGCACTAGCTGTAAAACGACCAGTAATATCAGCAGAGAGAACGCGTTTCAGTGGAATTGCTACCTTAACCTGCGCACCACTAACCGCGGGAACGGGCACGAAGCGATTGCAGTGGTACCTTTAACAACATTTCAGTGAAAAACTAAAGCGTCCAACGATAATTGCTGTGCCATGTTTGTATTAACATTTCATGCTTTGAAAGGCACTTTGATCGCGAGCTACTAAGGGGTCTGCGACTGCGGAAAAGCATTCCCATTTTGATGTTCACAAAGTTACTGTTAGGAAGTTGAAGTCCTTTTTTCGCCCCTAGCTCCAGAGCATTCTACACCACCGCCCGATTTATGTTTTCACTGTGTCCTCTTAATTTGTTGGTATAAGTGGAAACATGCAAAGTGCTGATACTCATTTTAAGGTCAGAGCCATTCACAGGCGTAGGTGTAGATGCGCAGGAGCTGTGCCAACCTCTGTGTACCATTACTTGAGCGTAGCAAGGGTGCGTGCAAACAACGCACTGCGAGTGTACTCAGCTTGTCAGTGGTAACGATCTCTGTTTTGAAGTCTTCGGGCGCTTGATTTACTCGGTGACAGGGTCCATGCTGCTACACGCATTGGCAGCTCGTAGCACAAGCTGGTTGGCCGTATCCTTTAGGTTGAAGCAAGGAATGTAGCTAACATCATTACTGTTCACCCTTCTTTCGATCACATCGGAGCCAAATGCGAGATGTGATTAATTTACTATCACTTTGACATTGTAAATAACACCCAAGTATTGGAACACCTTGTTACTGAAAGAGTATGAACTGTATGATAGCAAATAAGTTATTACTCAACATGAGGTACCAAAGACATCCACTCAATCTATATTTTAAAACACGCAGCTGCTTGAGGCCCAACCTCACCAAAGGCGTTGCCAACTGGCCAGGCGTCGAGGGACAGAACCAGCAGTCGGCAAGGCAAGAGGTGCCCTTGCCGTATGAGACAGAAGTCGGCATGAAGGAAGAGCTTATGGAGGGTCCGGTGTGTCAGGGAGCCGTGAGACAACTGGTTTGCCAGTACCAATGATCAAACACACCCTGTCCCCTTCCTCTTCCTCCTCCTCTGTCTCCACCGTCGCCATGCTGCCAGAATTCGGACCTCACCCTACTTAACGGCAATTATCCTCGTCTACTGCTGAGACGATTCAACTGGAGCGTGATCCATGGTAAGAAGGCATTGGAGCTGTTGCGGTGGCCCGAAAAAACGAGTCTTTTGCGCAACGATTCTTGACTTAGCAAATATTCTACTGGGATTAATCTTGTCCTGGCATTTATTTTTTACAGCTTTTGGAGCCTAGAGTTGTTTAAAAAAAGTCCGATTAATCGATTTGTGTTAAACAGGTTACTAAGAAGAATCGGAATGGAAATAAATTTGGCCATCTCAAACTGCATTTACTTTTCCTACAACCACCTAATACAGAATCTATTCATGTATCACAGAGTTTAGCTGATATTGGACCTGAAAATCCTGGACATTAAGAGGATGCTGTTAGTCTGGCTAAAACATTCTGGGAAAACTCACTTCACTTTCGTCATCAACGCTGGGGTGCTAAGCGATGTCGTCTCACTCAATATGGACTCACCATTCGACACTGCAAATCTTCGTCTTTGGGAACGGTGACTGTGCTGAATTCAACACTCCCACAAAACGATATCCCTCACGTTCAATTTAGCCAGGTATCCAGAATCTAGTCTTGCATGGGATGTCTAGCTGTTCAGTGGACTGTGGAGCTGAATGACTGGCATGTGTTGGGAACCTCTGTAAAAACAGTCATGGTGGTGATCGTCACTAAGTTGCCGTTTTCTACGATCGTCTTAGAAGCCTCTGCACTATCTGACTGGCCTAATATTTTGCGGCTCCTGAGCATCCTGTCATCGTTCTGTGCTGTTTGAGGTCTTCGATAGATACAGGTAGATATAGGTACCTGTGTTTCGGATTTTATGTCTCGCCTAATCCCATCGCACATCAAATATCAGGAAACTACCTAATGAATTGGAAAAAAAACACTGAACAACAAGTGAACGCGAATTTTTTCATTAAGCCATTGAAAGGTGGTAACTGCATGATCGGTCAATGTGGCGTGGACTTCCACTTGGCCTGCCCTTTTGCGGTCACAGTTAAGCCCTTCTCCAGCATTAATGGTTACGAGCAATGTAGGCGGGAGAGCACGGTTAGTGACCCATTGGCCATTCCTCCATGGAATGAAAAGCCACTATTTTCACCAGCCTGGATGGTCAAAACTCATATATTTTGAAGCAATTGCTCATAAGTTCTCAAATGGTCGTATGACATAAACTGACCCGCACATTTTGCCTTCGACAAGGCCCACTCCCGAATTGTCTACCCTGCACCTATGAATACTTATGAAGTGAGGTGATGGTTGGCGTGCTCTTCAGAATGGTCATAGTTTGATATTAAGTTATGAATAAATGAATAAAATGGAGGGGCGTGTTGAAGGTGGATGTAAGTAAGCACTCTCCTAATACTAAGTATGCTTTAGTGTTTCATCCGACTGAAATATTGCAATGCCTTCTGTATTTCAGATGGCGCCCTCTATGCGCTCCAATTCCTCTCCCTAGCGAAACGCATTGGCAGTCGATTGCAAAGACTGCTGACGCAAGCACTTCAAGTGCTTGACTCTGTTCAGCCAAAGAACAGGCGACCCTCAAATACTCATACCTACATCTCATCAGCCACTGGGTGGCTCCAGTCGATTTGGGTGTGACGGAGGCGCCTTCGCAAATGGCGGTATTTGTAGTGTGGGATTCATTCTACCGCCGCAAGCCTGCACGTCACTCTTCCTTATTTTGTCTATTTGACTATGGCTCTCGGCATTGTGCTCTGAGCTGCACCAATCACATAAGGCAAGTCGACGAGGCGTCAAAGTGGGTAACAAGCAGTAGAGCTGGCACAGAGAATGGAAGTCATCACCGGTTGTTAAGGCTGCCACACATTAGAAGCCCTCGGCTTTTCCAATGCTTCTTACGTAGTGATTCAAATAACTGTCTACTCGGGTGAAAGTTTCGTGTCTCAT